GCGTGGAGGGGGTGGTGGGGACACCCAAGACTGAGGAAATAAACAAGGGGAGTGCCAGCCACCACAGGGGTGGAGGGTAATGCTGCTGGGAATCAGCCCCCTCAGACTTTCCACTGCGAAGCGAAACCGTGAGCCCTGGGGTGTGTGGGGGGGCAATGCAGAGGGGAAGTGGGGAAGGTGGAGGGAAGGCAGAAGGACAGGGGCAAGGGCCCTGGGAGCAGAAGACCGACCTCCCAGCTCAAGACATCCACCTTGCCTCTGCTCTGCTCTCTGTCACTGCCCTGTCCCATTACCTGGGACCCCCGCCCCCTCACCCTCTACCCTCCTCAGCCCCCGGCTGCCTGATCTGGCCAGCCTTCCTCTGGATTCCAGCCTCTGGTCATTGGTTCTTCCCCTCTCTCTCCAGGCCTCTGTCCTGGTCCCTCTTCCTCTAGGTTCCCTTTCTCCACCTCCCACTTTGCAGAACCTCCCTTTTGTCAGGCTGTCTCTCCCTACTTTCTGACCTCTTCCCTTTGGAGGGCTCTTCGTGGCCCAGGCCTAAGGGGAGATGGGGGAGGCCCAGTTCCTGGTCCTGCTGCTTCTACAACTGCTGTGGGTGGCTCCAGGTAAGGTGGGGATGAAGCTCTTGAGAGGGTTGACCACCAGACCCACAGGAGGGGGTCAGCAGGGGTCTCCGGATGACCACGCAGAGCCAAGGTTCTTAGTTTGGGTGGATTTTCCTCATGCCTTTCTTCAGCCCCAAAGCCTCTCTTCAGGCTCCCCCTTGGAAGGAAAAGGACAGAACCCCTGGTCTTCCTCAGGCTCCTTCTCTTCAACTGTCATTTGGCTCATGGCTCCTCCCCTTGGCCTCTCTTTTCCTCCCCAGTGGAGGCACCAGGGCCTGGGGCAGAGGTCCAGGAGATGTGGGCCCAGGAAGGGGCTCCTGCCCAGCTTCCCTGCAGCCTCACAATCCCCCTCCAGGAAATCAGCCTTCGAACAGTTGGGGTCACTTGGCAGCATCTACCAGACAGGTATGCACCCCAAAATTGGGCAACAGAACTCCCAAATCCAAGGCGCAAGCCAGCCCTCATTCCCCTCCCCTGAGCTGTCAGTCCCTCTGAAGCCAGTGGCCTGCCTCCCCTGCCACTATGCACCCCAGGCGCTTCCTTCGCAGACCGCTCCCCTCATCCTGGCATCCCACGGGTTGCCAGCAGGGGATGGCGCTGGCCCAGTGCAAGCGAGGACTGGGACGGTTAATGGTCGAGAGATCTTCCCTTTGGGTGGGCTTCCTTATACTCAAAGTGTGCGGGGCGGCATCTTCCCTTGAATGTTCCCATCTCTCTCCGGCGCCCAGCCAGCCCCCAGCCCCGGGCTCGCGCCCCGCCGCGTCCTTCTACACGGTGCTGAGGCTGGCGCCCGGGGGCCTGCGCAGCGGGCGGCCGCCCCTGCAGCCCCGGGTGCAGCTGGAAGAGCGGGGCTTCCAGCGCGGGGACTTCTCGCTTTGGCTGCGCCCGGCTCAACGCACAGACGCCGGCGAGTACCGCGCCGCCGTGAGCTTCAGGGACAGCGCCCACACCTGCCGCGTCCGTCTGCGAGTGGGCCAGGCCTCGAGTAGGTGGGGGCGGGGCGAGGGGCGCCGGGCGGGAGGAGGGCGCCCTGTTCCCGACGCCGTCCGGAGGCAGGAAGGGCTGGGCCCGGGCTGTGCTTCTAAGGATGCGCCAGAGGCCCTGCCAGCGAGCCCCCAGAAGGGTAGCGGAAGAGGGTGGGGAACCAGATTGCTAAGTGGAAGGTGCCCCCAGAAAAGCACGTGTGTCGGGGGAGGGCCCTGTGGAGAGATTGTATCACCCCTTGATCTCCCCTTCCCCTACCCACCATGGGAGTGCTTAGGTGGAGGAGGGGAGGCACCCCTTGGAGGGGGTAGGGAGGGTGCGGGGCTAGAGTGATTCATTTCAGACATCTGTGGCTCAGGAGGTGGGATTAGTGGGGATCCTCAAGCAAGGAAGTCCTGGTGAAAGGGAAGAATAGACCAAGCCAAGTAAACTTGGAGGCAGGAGACTCTGGGCACCCATTTTAAGCACCTCCAGGTGTCAGGCACTGAGCTGGGGGGAGGGAAGGGAGAGGGGAGAAGACAAAGAAATCTAAATTGTGGTGCCTATTTCCAGGAGCTTCCAGCGGTAGTTGGCCTGCTGTGCTGGGAAAATGTTTGCAGTGGGGCTGATCAAACCTTCTTTACCCTTGCACAGTGACTGCCAGTCCCGCAGGGTCCCTCAGGACCTCCAGTTGGGTCGTTTTGAACTGCTCCTTCAGCCGCCCTGACCTCCCAGCCTCTGTGCACTGGTTCCGGGGCCCAGGCAGAATCCCTATTCAGGAGTCCTCCCATCATCACTTAGTTGGGAGCTTTCTCTTCCTGCCGCAAGTCAGCCCCGTGGACTCTGCGCCCTGGGGCTGCATCCTCACCTACAGAGATGGCTTCAAGGCCTCCAGCACCTACAACCTCACTGTTCTGGGTAACTCCTCCAGTCTGCCGTCACACTTGACCACAACACCTTCCTGCCTGCGTCTCATCTCTCCCTGACTTATGGGTCCCCAAAGCAGGTCTTCAGCAGCTAATACTTGTGATTGCTCTGGATCTCACTGTCCAATTTCTTTCTTTCTCCTGTTGCAGACTTTCAGCTGCTTTCTCCCATGGCAGACTTTCCTTTGGCCATCCAGCCTCAATTGCCAGCTTTTGGTCTCCTGCTGGCCCAGCCCACATCCTGGGTTTCTGAGCCTCTTTGGTTCATCCACCTTATTCCGCTTCTTAGCACTCTTCAGAGCTGGACCCCTCCTTCACTCCTGCGCTTTTCTGTCTCCCTTCCATGCAGATCTAGTGCTCCAGCCCCTGTTACCTCCCATTATCAGCTTTAACTTTAGGTTCCTTTTTCTCTCCAGATCCGGAGCCTCCAGTCCCTCTGACAGTGTATGCAGGAGCAGGCTCCAGGGCGGAGCTGCCCTGCCACCTGCCTCCTGGTATAGAGACACAGTCTTCCCTCACTGCCAAGTGGGCCCTTCCTGGGGGAAGCCCTGACCTGCTGGTGGCTGGAGACAATGGCAACTTTACCCTTCGACTAGAGGCTGTGAGCCAGGCCCAGGCTGGGACCTACACCTGCCACATCCATCTGCAGGGTCAGCAGCTCAATACCACTGTCACTTTGGCAGTCATCACAGGTCAGCCCCGTGTGGGGAAGGAGTGGCTCCCAACCCAGGGGAGCTGGATGGGGGGGACGACTGGCTGGGCAAACACAGGGCAAATCTGCCTCATGATGCCAGGGCATGAACACAAGTTACAGAGGCTGTCCCTCATGGCCTCCTCTTTTCTCGCCCCCATATGTAAAGAACTGAAACTGAAAATCTCCCCTGAGTCACTAGATGAATGTTCCACTCTTCTGTAAGGGGATCCCCTGCTCTGACCTGGGGGGGAGGGTCTGAGAAATTAGAAGACGATGAAGCAAAAGTTTGAATGGTTCGAAAGGGATGGACTATATTTCTAGAATCATTGTCCCACTTTGGGGCCAGGGCTCAGGTTAAAGTTGTAGGAAGTGGCCTGGATTTGGGAAGAGTTCATAAATCAGTCCCTTGGTCAGCAAATATTTACTGATCATGGGCTTTTCAAGACAGTGTAAAACAGACACACTTTTTTTAAAAACCTCAAATTGTGTTGATTGATAGATAATTCAATTAATTACCAGTGGTGGTTGCTTGGCTGTGTCTGCAGTACTAACCCATGGCCACTAAATAGTGGCACCACGTAGTATGTGCTTAATGAGTATGGTTGATGAATAAATAAATATGCTAACAAATGATACATCACCTGTGGGCCGCTGCTGGATTTCCACATGCTTCCTCCGTATTTCTACCTAGATATCGTAGTTGCGCCTCAGCCTCACTCTGAGCCCCATCTTTTCTTCATGCCAAATCCTCTTGCTGACTTAGCCTTTCTATCAATAACTCCACCTAGCCACCTCCTTCCCCCACATCCAGTCAGTCACCAAAGCCTACCAGTTCTTTCTGTCTGAGGTCTTCTTGAGGGTCCACTGTTTTGTGTCAGTTTCCCATGCTATCTCATGACAACTTGATGGGATGTTTTATAGAGAAGGAACTTTTCCAAAGTCACACAGCTGGAAAGTACCAGACTCAGGGTCTGTACTCAGGTGTCTGTGTCACCAAATCTCCAGGTTCCTGTACACATTTTGTGTCCTCCTACTCACCCTGTCTCTCACTGTAAGCTTTGAGATGCTCTGTCTCTAGGTTAGTTGGTCAGTTCACTGTTCTCCAAACATCCAGATAGAGGGTGAGTTCATTCAGGGGGCACCTCAGGGCAGGGGCACCGATGTAACACAAATTACGGAAGCAGGAAAAGTGCAAAGTATATTGGGGGTCAATTCACTTGACAGATATTGGGGGTTTGAGCATTTGAATAGACAATAATGTAAAAGAATCTGAAATAATATTTGTTATATGATCCTTCTGGCCCAGTTTGAATCTGAACAGTCCCCTGAAGGCAACAGGGAGCCTGGGAAGTTTTTGAGCAGCAGAATGATCTGACCAGAACTTTGTCTTCATAAGATTAATTTGGCCATGACCCCGATCTCCTCCCTTCAACCTCACCCAATCAGAGTCCAGGGGAGTGCAGTGTGATTGAGATTTGGGAGTTGATCATATGGTGTCAAGTAAAGGGGATCGGGGACTCAAAAGATCTCTTCCTTCTAATGTTTTCAGTGACTCCCAAATCCTTTGGGTTAACTGGCAACCTGAGAAAACTGCTTTGTGAGGTGACTCCAGCATCTGGACAAGAGCGCTTTGTGTGGAGCCCCCTGGACAAGCGGTCTTGGAAGAGTACCCCAGGACCCTGGCTGGAGGTGCAGGAGGCCAGCCTTCTTTCCCAGCCCTGGCAGTGCCATCTGTACCAGGGGAAGAGGCTTCTTGGAACAGCGGTATATTTCACGGAGCTGTCTGGCCCAGGTCTGAGATCCCACAACACTGGAGCCTCAACTCCAGACTAGTCATCTTGATCCCACTTGCAGACCCCCTCCCGACCCCTTCCCAGCTCTTTTGTTTCCTATTAGGGACCTGACTTGGTCCAGCTCTTGTCTAGTCCAGGCCCTCTTCTGCCACTAATTAGTTGAATGATCCTGGACAAGTCCCTTAAAATCTCTGGGCCTTGTGGTCTGCCCCTGTAAAATATGAGGGCGTGGCAATATGTCCTTTCAGCAGTGATCCTATGCCTAATCCTATACTTTCTCCTTAGGTGCCCAGCGTGCCGGGAGGGCCCCAGGTGCCCTGAAAACAGGCCATCTCCCTGTCTTTCTCACCCTTGGTGTCCTCCTTCTGCTCCTTTTGGTGACTGGAGCCTTTGGCTTTCACCTTTGGAGAAGACCGGTGAGCCAAGGATTCCGCCCCTCCCGCCACTGCCTTTCCTTCTCCCTAGTCCTCAGAGTGCTGTCTGGCACCCCTTCCTCAGGAAAGGTGACTAAGGTGGACCCTGAACTTGCCTTTAGAACCCCTTCTTCATAAGCCTCTGCACTCCAGGGACCCCTTGTGCCTGAAGAACCCAAGGGAGGCTTGAAGGGGCTGAGAAAAGGCCTGGGACCAGATGGGTTGGACAGGGGCCTGAGAAAGAATAGATGGGTCCGGCAGTGTCCTCCTTATTCCCTATTTCTTCATCTTTTCTTCCTCTCACCCTCCATGTCTTTCCACAGTGGCGACCAAGAAGATTCTCTGCTTTAGAGCATGGGATTCACCCACCTCAGGCTCAGAGCAAGATAGGGGACCTGGAGCAAGAACCAGAGCCGGAGCCGGAGCCGGAGCTGGAGCCAGAGCCACAGCAGCCCTGACCTGGAGCTTAGGCAGCCAGTGGATCACCTTAGCTCAGTACAAATAAACTCCCATCAGCAGCAAGCTTGAGTCTGGCTCCTTCTTGTCCAGTGAAGGTTCTTGTCTCTCCCAGCCTCAGGGTGCTCCCTTCTCCCATCCCAGCCTTCCTTTCGCCTACTTTTCCCCAGCCAGTGTCCCTTATCTTCCCCTTTCTGTTCCTGGCTTCTCCATGATTCTTTTCTCCCTGGGCTCTTTCTTACTCTCTCTCTCTTCTGAGTAGTCATTTTTCTGAAGCTCCAAAACACCCGAGGAGATTAGCAGTGCAGTGGACAGGCCGGCGCGTATCCCCACATGTAGGTACCGCCTTTGTGGGGTGCCCTTGCTATGGTGCCCTTATCTCTAAAGCCCTTTCCTCCATCTTTCCCTCATCGCACTGGCTGCCCTGGTTTCCTTGATATTTTTATTCCTCTGGCCCACCCCACCCCACCCCACATTCGGCTCTACTTCAGCACTGTCCTTGACCCTCTAGCTGCAGTATGTGTACACACACACACACACACACACACACACACACGGAACAGCCCTGCCATGTCAAGTCCTGGAGATCAAGTCTTGCAACCTTTCTGTGCCCGCTGGCTGCGGTTCCTGCCAGCCTCTGCCCCACCCCCATGTTCCTCAGCTCTTGGGGCCTCCTCTGTTCCCAGGCATGAGAACACACTGCCACCCAGTGGTCACAGTTTGTCACACACCACTGGGGGTCACTGGGTAGGCTGGGGCAGGCCCGAAGACACTAGCAGTGCATTGGACAGGTGGGCACGTATCCCCAAGTGTAGGCACCACCTTTGTGGGGTGCCCTTGCTATGGTCTGCATATGAGCATTCACCCAGCAGCTGTCGCATTCTCTATGCATCCGTCAGGAGAGGGACTGAACAGTACATGCCTGGGGGCACGTAGCCCTGGACCTGGCAAGGTTATGATCCAAGTCTGACAAAGGAGAGTGCTGTGAACAAAGGCCCCACGTGGGGACAAAGACAGCCAGCAAGACAGCTGGCTTCTGCTGCAGCTTTGGGAGTCAGGACACCTGGCTTCTGATCCCAGCTGTGCTGGTGTGACCAGAGTTAATCCTCCTAAGCCTCAGTTTCCTTACCTTCCTCACCTATTAAATGGGATAATGATAATAACCCACCAAAATGGGCTGTTGTGAATATTGGATAATGAAAGGGCTTCACTGTGACGTGCTCCATATGTGCGATGTGCTTATCTGATCATCTGTTTGTGAAGGAGGAAGTGAGCCTGCTCTGGTCGTGCCAGGAATGATAGAGAAGACCCACCAGCCTGCCTGCCTGCCCGCTCTGTCTCTCAGAGAGAACATTCATCTGGGCCATGAAGACTGTGGTCAGCAGAGCACACGCACAGCCTTGGCCCCAGCACTCCCACAGTGACCTAGACCTCTGCATGCAATGTGTGCCGGGCTCTGGACTTTGGCCTCAGGCAACTCTGTCAGGGAACTTTACCCTGGACAGGAGGAAAAAAAAATATTGAAAGAGAGTGGGAGCAAGTCTGCAGGAGCAGGAGCCCCCATGCTTTAGTGGGGCAGGGGTTTCCTGGAAATTTTTGTGGGTGGCATTTTCCTTTCTATTAGGTAACATCCTATGCCCTCTGGGCTTATGAAAGTAGTCATCGAGGATTCACCAGTGTCTATGCGGGGACTTCCCCATGTTCCTGCACAAAGGGGACAAGGAGGGGACAGGGGCAGAGTGAAGGGCCACCTTGTTCACCCACTGAGGAAGTGAAGAGCAAAGAACGGAAGGAAGAGAGGGCATGGGGCTTGCGCTTATTGTGATCCTTTTATCAATTTGTGCTCCCTTTCCTATGAGATCTCTCCTAAGGGGTGACACACCCTGCTCCTCCCCTTCTTCTCTCAAAGTTCTAGCAAGATAACCTCCAGCCCTTTTTGTGTTCCCTTAGTCCTTCCAGGGAGCTAGATTAATTCATCCCCCATCTCCAGGTTTATCTGTGAACCGAACCAGTGTTCCAGGCTGGGGGCTTGGAGGGGAAGGGGCATCAAGGAGGCAGGGAGCTATGTGGGGGTCCATGGAGGGTGGGGGAGGGACCATCTTAGGTTCTTATTAAAAAGGAAGGGGTGTGTTAATTATCTATTGCCACATAACAAATCACCCCAAAACTCAGTAATTTATTTTACTTTTATTTTTTTTTATTTTTAATTTTATTTAAAAAAATATGTCTTTATTGATTTAAGAGAGAGGAAGGGGGAGGGAGATAGAAACATCAATAATGAGAGAGTCATTGATTGGCTGCCTCCTGCACACCCCCGACTGGGGATGGAGCCCGCAACCCAGGCATGTGTCCTGACCAGGAATCGAACCGCAATCTCCTGGATCCTAGGTCGATGCTCAACGGCCGAGCCACGTCTGGCTGGGCCTCAGTCATTTAAAACAGTAAACAGTATTTCACATGGTCAGGAATTCAGGAGCAGCTGAGTTGAGTATTTCTGGGGCAAGGTCTCTTGTGAGGTGGCTGCCAAGATGTGGGTCAGAGCTGGAGTCATCTGAAGGCTAGGCTGGACTGAAGGATCTGCTGCCAAGAAGGACCCTCAGGTGGCTGCTGGCCAGAAGGGTTAGTTCCTCCCCACCTGGGCCTCTTCTTAGTGCTTTCCCTCAGAGGGAGGAAGTGGCCAAGACAAAAGCTACTATGTCTTATAACCTAATCTGGAAAGTGACAGACCTTCCCTTCTACCTTATTCTATTGGTCACCCAGGCCAAGGCTGGTGCAATGTGGGAGGAGACAACATAAGGGTGTGAACTGAAGGAGACAGGGATCACTGGGAGGCCACATTGCTTCATCTTGGCTATCCTAGGGGGGAATAGCTCCTGAAAGAGAACCAGGTCACCAGAGGGGAAGAGGTATCTCTGCGTACCTCCTTCCCCTTCTTCCCAGTCCTACATGGACCTGACAGTCTGCCTCATTGTCCACTGCCCAGAAGTTCTGGAGACCAAACGAGGTCCAGAGCCTTGCCAAGTCAACTGTGTCAGGCAAGAGGCCATGCTGTATTCATCCAGACCTGTGGTCACATTGACCAGCGTGTCCACCCCCCCCGCCCCCCGACCTTGCTGTTCTTATCTTTATGGTGCAGGGCAGGCCTAGAAAGTTCCCTGCTATCCTTTCCACAAAGGAGGTAAGCAAGGAGCTTAAGTTTCCTTGCTTGGACCCACCCCAAGATAGAGTTCACCCTTTGAAGGGAATGAGGTTGAGGTGGGGATGGGTTCTATCTGCTTTACTCTGTGGCTGACAGTTTATCCAAAGGGCTGCAGGTGCTAGCTGGCTGAGCCCAGGCTAGGCTCAGAAATTTGCCTGCTCATAATTTCCATGGGGTACAGGAGGCCCAGGAACCACCTTCTGAGAGTTGCAGAAAGTGGTCATGGAACTGGGAGAATGTGGCCAGGGTGGAGATGGGTCAGCCCTCCAAGACTTACTTCCCAGAGAACAGCCTCTGTGGCCCTTCCCCCACACCTCCAATCTCCAAACCCTGCCCCCAACCGCCTTTGCAGAGGGTGTCAGTGCAGCTGCAGATGTTTCTAGTAAGGAGGCCACCACAGGACTGCACCTGTGGCTTCCAACTTCCCTCCCACCCCTTCTCCAGTAGCCTGGCCTCCAATACTTCGTCAGCCTTGCCACTGGCTTCCACCTGCTTCCCCTCTCTTTCTCCCCATTGACCTCCTCCAGTCTAAAGACCGAATCCATACAGCAAAAATAGCTCTCTACCAGGAACAGGAGACTTCTGGAAATCTCCATGCTCCATGCTTACAGTCCTATCAAGGGGCAGATAGCTTAATCCCAGTTTCTTCTTCTGTAAAGTGAGGATAGTACTACCTACCAAAAAGGTTTGGCATGTGCTAATGTATGTGAAAGTGCTTTGAAAATGGAAAATCACTCTATAGACGTGAGGGATAGGGGTGGTGCTAAGCCTCAGAAGCCCTAGATGAGGATGTCAGCCTCATAGCCCTTCACTGCTATGGGAAAAGTCGACTCTTAGTCATTACCTTGCCTTCCTTAATGCAGAGGAGGGGCAGTGGGGTGAGGGGGACAATCCAGGCAGAAATTCAAACCCCAGTTCCATCAGGTATGGTTACTAGTCCTGTGACCTTCAGCAATTTTCTTAAACTCTTTGAGCCTCAGTTNTTGGGGTCCAGGCAGAAATTCAAACCCCAGTTCCATCAGGTATGGTTACTAGTCCTGTGACCTTCAGCAATTTTCTTAAACTCTTTGAGCCTCAGTTTCCTCATCTGTATGGTCTGGAGAATAATACTTATGTCCTATCATTGTTGTGAGGATTAAATAAATACATAGTCATATAAAACACACAGCTGTTCTAAATGTTCAACATAAACTTGCTTTCTCTTCCTTTTTCTTTTCCTCTTTGGAAATCCCAGAGTGAGAGCCAGGTTCTTGGAGCCTGTTGACTCTTGGTAACCCATCTTCATAGACTTTCACAGGTCACAGACCTTGGATTTGAATGGTGNAGTTCTTGGAGCCTGTAACCCATCTTCATAGACTTTCACAGGTCACAGACCTTGGATTTGAATGGTGTCACACAGTCCATCTGGTTCATCATGTACAAACTGTGGGCCCTAAGCCAGATCCAGCCCTTGGAATGATTTGTTTGACTTACCCAGTGTTAGAACAAAACAAAAAATTAGGTGCCAACATTAAAGTTAGGAGATGTTACATGAATGTCTGGTTTTCCATCTTTTCTCAAAATTTTGGCAGAGCTGGCAACTCTGAGTTCACACTCTGGTACAACCTCTACTAATCAACTCAGCTGGAACTGTGTGATTAGTGGCTGCCTCCATTAAATGAGGCAGGTGCTCTCTAGCTTGCCTCAGTCCCCACCCCTCCCTATCATTCACAGCCGGTCTGCTTTTCTCAGTGAGATTCCCTAGCTGGCTCCTGCAGGCATTTAAGTTTGTGATCTGATCTAGTCCCTTCCCATTTATTCATT